TATGCCGACGAAGTAAGGGCCCGACTTCTGGGAATACACGAATTTACTCTGGAGCAGATTCAGCTGGCCAGTGACCGAATGAAAACTAGATACGACTTAAAAGCCAATTCGGCCGGATTTCAAGAAGGTGATTTAGTGTGGTTGTATAATCCAGCAAGAAAGAAAGGAGTGTCGCCAAAGTTATCTTCAACATGGGAAGGACCCTACAGAATGATCAATGGGATCAATGATTTGGTTTATCGAGTCCAACGCAACACCAGGAGTAAGATGAAAGTTGTAGATCTGGACAGGTTAACGAAATATCATGGGCGTGAAGTCTTAAGAGGAGGGCAGTGTAACGGATGCCAGTGTGTCAAGAATCCTAGGCTGTCGAATACCCTAGAAATTACAGATTTCTATAATCTAGTGAATTCTACTTAATCGGGAAAAGGAAAGTTATCGCGTGTATTCTAGATTGTACATGAATGGATTTACGGCTATATAAAGCAAGCTGGTATTTAAAAGTTTTAAGTTTAAGTTTGACTGTGATACGATTTAAATAGTGATTATTGTTGCGAGTTGTACAGAGTTTAATTGTTGAGTTAGTTATTAAAGTAATTAGTGTAAGAATATATAGTTACGTGGAATAAATTATTGCTGCGCTTATTGGACTTTGATGTTCGAATAAACGAAACGGACCCAAGATTTCTGTCACGCACTCCAGAGCCGTGACAATATCATTGTCAAGCCTGTTACTTCGCCACCGGTAGGGTTTATGTTAAATTTGCAATTTAAAAATTCAGCCAACAAATAGGTATTGCGGATCTCATGACAAAAGTATTGTTTAAGCCAAGACTTGAGTTTATGAGGCAGAATAGGATTGACCAAAATTTTCCAATGGGGTAGGTATATAAACATATGGTGGAACCATGAACATGCCCCAATTCAGAAGCAATTAGGCAATTCAAACCACGTGACATTCAAAATGGCGTGGCGGCCACACATGGACCAAAAAACACAAAAAAATATCTAGTTTCTCCCCGACTTAATAGTTTACGTACCTAGTAAACATATATTGTATTGAATAATCAACATCAAAGCTGCAAGCACAACTCGAAGCAAAATAATTGAAATATGCATGAAAATACGTGTTCGGAACAAACTTGCTGGCCGCCACGCCATATTGAATTTTTCGTTTTGACAGATGGATTGAATTGCCTAATTCTTGTGAATCAATTGACGCGTTCCGAAGTCATCCCTTGATAGGTAAAACGTCGTGAGACATCCTAAATTAGGCAATTCAAACCACGAGACATTCAAGATGGCGTGGCGGCCACACATGGGTCAAAAAACACAAAAAAATATCTAGTTTCTGCCCGAATTAATAGTTTAGGTACCTAGTCAACAAATATTTTATTAAATAATGAAAATCAAAGTTGTAAGCAAAACTGTATGCAAAATAATTTAAAATACGCATAAAAACATATTCAAAACAAAATGTATCTTGCTGGAAGATACCTACTGACACCTGTGTGTCTGTCAAATCAATTTGTCAGTTCAAATAAGTATGTGAATCAAAATGGAACAAAATCATTTAGTGATAGATAACAGAAACACTCAAACATGTATCAAAGTCTTAATATTTCTTTCTTGCTCCTCTGCTACAGTTATTGCGTTCGTTTTGATTGGTTACGGAGGCTCGTACCTGGGGAATCTTCCTTACGACGACGTGAATCTCTACCGGACAATAAAAACCACGTCTATCATGAATATAGTAATTGGATTCGTAACGATTGTAGTTAGTATTGTGGGATTTTTCAGTTCTATCGTGAATAGTAAACTCTTGTATAAAATTTTTGCTGGCCTCCTGATGATCAATGGCCTGCTGATGATGGGCTTTGGAATTTTTTTTGTGGTTACATCGGCCAAACGTTATGACCAAAACTTGAGAAAGGATCTAGAGAAAATGCTAATAGTGAAATTTGAAGGATATTACCTCAACTGGAAAGATAACAAGTATCTAGACAATTTTCAGAAGTACTATGAATGTTGTGGCGTGTATAACTCAAAGGATTGGAAGCATGCACCTCCACGTAGTTGTTATACCTCCGGGTGGCGTCATACAGAAGGATGTATTGAAGCTTTCAGTACCATTTCTCCTGTCATGTTAGCCTTGGGTATTGTACTGATTGTTGCCGCAATATTTGATATTGCTCTAGCAATACTGGTTATTTACCTAACCAAAATTATTCGACCGGACAAGCAGAACTATATCCTCACTTTAACAACCCAGTACAAGTAGTACCTACAACCAAATGATAATATTTATCCGAGGGGGCAGTATAACATCCCATCAACTAATCGAATTCATCAATAAAAAATCGAGATTGGATGAAGTACTTAATATTCTTGTTTCATTATTTCGTTTTTCTCAAGAATAATTTTTCAATTGAAGTTTCAAAGTTTAATTTCAGAGAAGGGAAAACGTATTTCAGATAGGAACTTTTAAATCAGAGAAGATGAATTCAGAAAGCAAAATTGTTAAGTAGACAAGTAGGAATTTAACAAAAATTTCTATTCCAGGTTCTCGAATTCTCTACATCCAGAGCACATAGAGCAGACATTTGAAAAATAAATAGACAAAAACTGAAACTGGAGAAAGTTTGATAATAATTGCGAAATGGAAAGAGGAATTGGAGGAGAAATTAGTTCACATTTACGAATAGGGTATTTACCCTATTCCAGGCTCTTGAAATTATTTAATCTAGAGAACTTTGAAAAGGAGGCAACTTGAACAGCCTGGGCATACAAAAAAATTGAGACCTCAAAAATGTTACAGGAAATTCAATAAAAATTGATGAAAATTGAGGAGATACTGGGTGGACAAGTGAATAATTTCTTTTTTCGAGACTCTTGAATTCTCTTTCTTCAGGGAAATTTCAATGAAGCAAAAATTCAAGAACCCGGAATAGACAAAAATTGAGACAGAGAAAGGGGAAGATAAAATTCTAGTGATTCAGGCAACAACGTTCGGGCTTATGTAACTCTCTTATAGAGGGCGACACCATTTAGTTAGACATCTCCCCAACAGATGGCACTTTTCTTTTATATTTCTAGGATTTATATTCAAAATAACTTTTAGCGATTCAATGAGCTTTCCAGATTTTGGAAGCTTCTTTACTGGTGATCATTATTCCAAAAAAATGTACTTCCATCGACATTTTCCTGTTGCAGCTTTTCGACATAATGAACCAAATAATTTCCACCACTTCCGTGCTAACCAATGGCTAATGGTCGTTTTACAGCTTGGTCTGCATAACAGGCATGGGAACCACTGGATTGATTTAGATCCGATTAATGTGCTATTTTTCCCATTATAAGAAATGGACCAGTTGATACAACTAACAGTAAAAATATTCATTGCTTATATGTAGGTAGGAAATTAATTTCTATTTTTAGCTAATTGATATCATTGTCAAGCCTGTTACTTCGCCACTGATAGGGTTTATGTTAACTTTGCAATTTAAAAATTCAGCCAACAAATAGGTATTGCGGATCCCATGACAAAAGTATTGTTTAAACCAAAACTTGAGTTTTTGAGGCAGAATAAGATTGACCAAAATTTTCCAATGGGGTATAAACATATGGTGGAACCATGAACATGCCCCAACTCCCAACTCAGAAGCAATTGACGTTTTCAATTAAAAGAGATGGACGATAAAGTATGAAAACATTCAGATTCCCGCCAAAATTTGCTTGCTCGTCAATGTCAAGTGTATAGGGTGTTTAGCAATCCCCTGGTTTTTATTCTAATCGGTGACTCCACCGATGAGTTAGGTATCTTTGTTCAGTGAATGGAAAATGACAATGACCGACATAGAAGGGTGAAATTTGAAAGAAAATGTGGGAAGCAAACAGCTTCCGCAAACTAAACTTGAACGTGGAAATCTTTGATCTTGATGGGTCCTGGATTTCCCTTACTTTTGCGAGTATCAGTTCTGATTTTGTGTATCCAAATTTTGACAAATGTAGGATTTGATGAAAACTTATGGAAAGACACGTCCGCCGGTGAATAGTAATTATTTTCACGAAAAGGCACACTACACACAATCACCATTGTTAGGAAAAAACCTTGAAAAAACCGAGGAAATAATAGTTTCCAGTCTCACACGAATAAAACTCTTGTCAACAAACCACTGTCAATAGCTGTCAATCATTGTTTTCATACTCTTTTGGCCTCTGACAGTTTGACGCCAGAGAGAGAGGCTTCTAAATTGAAAAGGTCAATTCTTGTGAATCAATTGACTCGTTCCAAAGTCATCGCTTGATAGGTAAAACGTCGTGAGACACCCTATAGTCCTTTTTACCTGGCTCCGGTTTAATAAACCGCAACATACCGCTCAAATTCGAGTGGTATCGATGACGTCACTTTGTAACCGGGTTTGGAAACGGTCTGTCATTTCTCTAACCAGCTCGGCGATATGGTCACGTTTAACGGTTACACATGGTTAGACCAAAAGAAATAGAAAATTTGTAAAAAACGGAGAGCGAGAAAATTGTGACAGGTGTAAACTTAAAAAGTAGTGTGTGTTATTTGGTTAATTTTAAAGTTTCTACCTATCAATGGACCTTTCTCATTTTACCTGTGCTGCGCGCGCAGCTTGTGGGTGACAGATAATAAAATTGTCATTTGAATGAAAGCGGGAACGCGGTCTGACCCTGACGTTTTTTAAACTAAACCTCAATAATCAATCAATATTGCTGAACATTATTACGAAAACTGTTTATTACACAATGGTTCAAGTGTGTTGTGTGAGATTTTGTCAGAGTAAGGCGAAAAAGAAGTCAAACCTTCCTTTTCACAAGTTCCCAAGCAATCAAATTTTAAAAAAGCAATGGTTACATGCTCTCAACCTGACTGAAGACGATTTAAGTTGGAACAGAGGTTTGAGGGTTCGTAAAATAACGATATCTATATCAAATACAATAATAATTGTAAAATTAAAGTTGTTAGCACTTACAAATTCGTACTTCTCAAACTTTTCTAAACTTCTCCCCCGCATATTTGTCATATTTACATTTAAAAATAAACAAAAACAGAAACATAACCGAAATTCTACAATTTGACAAGTGGAACCAATCAAAGTCATTCCACACAGGTATCGCTCATCATTGTATGTGTCTCTTTCTTTATTACATAAATTTCAATAAACTATCCTTGTTGTTCATTGCATGAGAAAGGTCCATTAACGAACAAGGAAGAGCATTAAGTTAAAATAAGTAATAGGGACTTTTTTTTCTCAAGGGACCTGTTTTCTGACGCTGACGTCAGAAAACGGTTGTATGTCATACCTGAACCAATGACAACGTTTACGTTGTCAGTTGTGCGGCGCGTACTCTCCTAACAAACCGTACCTCAACAAACCGTACCTTAAGTCTGTCAAATCAATCTGTCAGTTCAAATAAGTATGTGAATCAAACTGGAACAAAATCATTTCGTGATGGATATCTCCATGATAGATAACAGAGACACTCAAACATGTATCAGAGTCTTAATATTTCTTTCTTGCTTCTGTGCTACAGTTATTGCATTCGTTTTGATTGGTTACGGAGGCTCGTACCTGGAGAATCTTCCTTACGACGACGTGAATCTCTACCGGACAATAAAAACCACGTCAATCATGAATATAGTAATTGGATTCGTAACGGTTGTAGTTAGTATTGTGGGATGTTGCAGTTCTATCGTGAATAGTAAACTCTTGTATAAAATTTTTGCTGGCCTCCTGATGGTCAATGGCCTGCTGATGATGGGTTTTGGAATTTACCTTGTGGTTACGTCGGCCAAACGTTATGACCAAAAGTTGAGAAGGGATCTAGAGAAAATGCTAATAATAAAATTCATAGGATATTTCCTCAACTGGAAAGATAGAAACTATCTAGACGATTTCCAGACGTACTATAGATGTTGTGGTGTGTATAACCCAAAGGATTGGAAGCAAGAACCCCCACGTAGTTGTTATACCAACGGGTTGAGTCATACAAAAGGATGTATTGAAGCTTTTAGTAACATTTCTCCTGTCATGTTAGCCTTGGGTATTGTACTGATTGTTGCCGCAATATTTGATGTTGCTCTAGCATTACTGGTTGTTTATCTTGCTAAAATTATTCGACCGGGTGCGCAGAACTATCCTTACTTTAACAACCCAGTACAAGTAGTACAACCAACTGATAATATTTATCCGAGGGGGCAGTATAACATCCCGTCAACTAATCGAGTTTATCAATAAAAAATCGAAATTGGACGAAGCACTTAATATTCTTGTTTCATTATTTCGTTTTTCTTAAGAATCATTTTTCAATTGAAGTTCCAAAGTTTAATTTCAGAATGATATCAGAGAAGGGAAAATGTATTTCAGATAGGAACCTGTAATTCAGAGAAGATAAATTCAGAAAAGCAGAATTGTTGCCTATTCATGAGTCTATATTCGTCATATTGATTGTGTGTGGAGTCATTTTGTTTGTGAAATTGTGATCTTTTTAACTGTGTAATAATTGTTCTGGACTTCATTCTTGGTTAGCCAACAAATCCCTAAAACAAATCTAGTTTTTATAGGGACTGAAATAAGAATAGTCAAAAAAAAAGAAGTTAAATTATTGGATTCCTGATCAGTAGCACAAAAATTTGCATATCCTACACTGTTTATTTTATTGATGCAAGTTATCTTTTTTGCCATCTGCTTGTAAATATAAATAAGCCAAATAAACATTTTTTATTAAATTTTATTTTTACAATCATAGTCAATCCTGATATGGATCTAAAGTGCTCTACCTGTGATAAGGCCTGCTTCCAAAAGGAGGACAAAAATGAGCTTTTTGGCTTACCTTGTGACATTTGTCGCAAGATTCTATACAGAAATTGCTCTGGAGTAAGAAGCTCTGAGATCCGAGTTCTCATAATGAAAGAACGCTGCCTGAGATTTTTCTGTCCAAGCTGTACGGACTGTTTCCAAGCACTGCCGGGATTAAGCTCAAGACTTCACGAATTGAAAGCAGAGGTGAAAAAGCTCAAAACCGACCAAAGAGTTGGGCCATCCAATCAGAACTGTGTTATCGAAGATGATGTGGCAGAATTGGATAAAGGTTTTTCCCCTATTCCTACCAATGGACAGCTTACTATGGGGGGTATTAAAAACGGAATGGCGCCACTTATTACTGAAATTCTTGAGAGGATTCTTGATGGTCAGGCTGAACTCATTTCAAATAGGCTGGAAGGCACCTGCAGAGCCATTCTGGATTCTAATAAGGAACTTGTTGCATTTATGTCCAAGTCCTATATTCCACTACTATCCTCAACAAAAGGACATTCTGCTGGAGTACCGGTATTCCGGGAAAATAATTTGTTAGCAGAATGATCGAATGACGCCTTAGGAGTGTCAACTCAAAATTATGTCTCACATCAAGCCTCTGTTATTATAGATATGTTCGCTTATATGAATGCATTCCAGTTAAATGATGTCCCTAATGCAACCGGATCAATTCTTGATCTGGTCTTCTGTGATATGGATAGTGTTTATGTTGAACTTTGTGATCAATCAATGTTACCCTGTGATAGATATCATCCAGCAATCAATTTTAATGTACCACTAGATAAAGTAGATTCTAATGTGATGATTTATGAATATGAGTATTTTGATTTTAAAAAAGCTGATTATCACCAGCTAAATTCATATTTGTGTAGTTTTGCTTGGGATGATATTCTCAATGTTGAAAGTATTAATACAGCCATGGATAGGTTTTATGATATAGTTTACACTGGCTTAGAAATGTATGTTCCTAAATGTAAGGCTAAAAATAAAAAGTTCCCAAACTGGTATAGCGAAGAGCTTAAGTCTACTATATTAAATAAGAAAGAAAAACATAAACTTTGGAAACAATCTCATTTATAGGGAATTCTGTAGCTTAAGATCCATAAGTAAGAACTTGATGAATGAATGTCACAAAAATTATATCAATAATGTCCAAGATAACATTATAAGTGATAGTAAAATGTTTTGGAAACATGTTCACTCAAAAAGAGACAACTTCGAGTTACCCAATAGCATGAAGTATAATAATGTTTCTTCTGAGTGTCCTAAGGAAATTGTAAATTTGTTTGCTCAACACCTTGGGTCTGTATATAAAAGTAAAGATTGTACAACACCAATTATTGGGTTTGATGGATTTGTTGATATTAATGATTGTGATATTGCCTTGCTGGATATTTTTAATTCAATTGGGAGCCTTAATGTGCACCTTGCGGCTGGACCAGATTTGTTGCCTGTGGTATTTTTCAAAGAATGTAAATGTATTCTGTCAAGTATCTTGCTAAAAGTTTATAGGTTATCCTTATCAACTGGTACTTTTCCAGACTGCTGGAAAATCTCACATATTACTCCGTTATTTAAATCAGGCGACAGATCATTGGTTGATAGTTATAGGCCAATCTCTAAAGTCAGTATTGCCATTGCCCCAAAAATTTTTGAATCTATAATCAGTGATAAAATGGCTCCTATCATTCAAGGTGTATTGTCGACCAAACAGCATGGATTTGTAAAGGGCCGCTCAACTTTGACTAATTTGCTACACTGATTTTTCCAAGGCCTTAGACAGGGTGCACCATGGAATACTTTTGCATAAACTGGAGCTATTTGGGATTCATGGACCGATGCTGTCATAGTTTAAGAGTTATCTAGTTGATCGGAAACAATTTGTAAAAATTAAAAAAATTGTATCTTATAAAATTGATGTGCCATCGGGCGTTCCTCAGGGATCTCATCTGGCTCCTCTACTGTTAATTGTCTTTATTAATGATCTTGTTGCTGTTCTGGATTTTGGATGTAATTTATTGTTTGCTGATGATTTGAAAATGTTTATGAGGGTGGAAAATGAAAATGAGTGTCGCAAATTGCAAAATAATATTGATAAACTTTATTGATGGTGTAATGCTAACTGTATGGAGTTGAATGTAAGGAAATGTAGTGTTCTGACAATATCCCGAAAGAGAAATAACATAGTCTTTCCCTATAATATCAATAATCAACTTTTGGAGAGAGTCGATAAAATCAAAGATCTTGGAATTTATATCGATGATGAATTGCGATTTGATTACCACATTAACTTTAATAAGAATAAGGCACTAAAAATGTTGGGTTTTGTTGCCAGAACACTATCAAACTTTGATGATGTAAATTGCTTTAAGGTATACTGTATTGTAGCTATGTTAGATCAGGTCTGGAATATGCATGTCCAGTTTGGTCTCCTTTTTATAACACTTATGTACCTAAATGACTTAGAAAAAATTCAAAGAAAATTTTTAAGATTTATTAACTTTAAGTTGGGCATTCCAATTGATGATATAAACTATGGCGAACTCTACAAACTTCCCAATTTGCAAACATTGAGGTCTAGAAGGACACAATTTGATATAATGTACTCTCCATAAAATCTGTAATAACATAATCAATTGTCCTGACCTATTGGAAAAAGTTCCATTTAGAATTTCTCAGAGAGTAACTCGACAAAATGAGATTTTTAATAGGTATAGATTTTCACAGGACTAACTATGGTTTGAATAGTCCTATGTGTAGAATGTGTAATGTGTCCAATAGGGTAATAAATGAGCTTGATATTGATTTTTTCAACATAAGTGGCAATACGCTTAGAAAAAGTCTGCTTGAACTAATGTAGGCTGTTGATGGATGAATTTACCTTAACTAGATGTGAATCTCATTTTCATTCATTTATTTTTTGTATTGTTGATAGTTTTAGTATATTGGTTAGGTGAGGAAAATTGTTTTAATATGTGCTTTCTATTGTTGTTGATTGATGTTTTTTTTATGCATGTTACCATAATGAAAGTAATGTTTTTATCTTTTTGTTTTTTTTTTTAAATTTCACTGTCAACACTGTGATTGTGTTTTATTGATTTATATTTTGTCTCAATCGTATTTTTTTATCAATTTCAACTATGTACTCATTTGAAAATGGCAAGTCCGTCAATAAACATTTATTTATTTATTTATTTATATATAAATTAACATTCAGAAATTATAATTTAGAAAAAAGAAATTGTGTTTTAGAAGGTGTCAATTAAACAAGTAGGAATTTGAAAAATTTCTCTATTCCAGGCTCTACAGGGGCGCAATATGATTGACCAAAATTTTCCAATGTGAGAGGATGTTGAAACTAAAAGTGTTGGTTAATAAAGAAATATAGTCATTAAATGTGTCACACCTTTCATCCTTCAAAGTCCTAAAGATCTGTTCTAAAAACTTCAACAAAATGGTTTATAAACATTTGGTGGAACCATGAACATTCCCCAATTCAGAAACAGTTCTTGTGAATTAATCGACGCGTTCCGAAGTTATCGCTTGATGGGTAAAACGTCGTGAGACACCCTGTATCTTGCTGGAAGATACCTATTGACACCTGTAAGTCTGTCAAGTCGATCTGTCGGTTCAAATATAAGTATATGAATCAAATTGCAACAAAATCATTTCGTGATGGATAACACAAATACTCAATCTACCAAAGTGTTAATATTTTTTTCTGGAGTCTCTTCCTCAACTCTTGCGTACTTTTTGCTTGAGCGTTACGGATTCTTGCAACTACTGAATCTTCCTTACGACGACGTGAATCTCTACCGGACAATAAAAACCGCGTCTATCGTGAATATAATAATTGGAATTATAATTTTCTTAGTTAGTCCTGTAAGCTTTGTTGTTTTGGGAGACTGCTGCAGTACTAGAGTGAATAGTAAACGCTCCTATAAAATTTCTGCTGCCTTCTTGATGGTAACTGGCCTGCTAGTAATGGGCTTTGGAATTTACCTTGTGGTTATATCGGCCACAAATTACGACCAAAATATGAGAAGGGATCTAGAGAAATTGCTAATAGGAAAATTCAGAGGATATTTCCACAACGAGGAAGATAAAAAATATGTTGACAATTTTCAGACGTACTATGAATGTTGTGGTCTGTATAAGCCAGATTATTGGCAGGAAGAACCGCCACCTAGTTGTTATACCTCCAGGCAGCGTCATGAGAAAGGATGTCTCGAAGCTTCCCGTACCATTTCTCCTGCTATGATGGACCTGGGTATTGGAATGATTGTTGTCCCAATATTTCATATTACTCTAGCAATATGGGTTGCCTACTTAGTCAAGGTTATTTTTCTGGATGCGCCAGTACAATCCTCACTTTAACAACCCAGTACAAGTAGTAGTACAACCAACTGATATTATTTATCCGAGTGGGCAGTATAACATCCCATCAACTAATCGAATTCATCAATAAACAGTCAAGATTGGGAACACTTGTTGTTTCATTATTTCGTCTTGCTTGAAAAGACCGATTCCTTTTTCAATTGGAATTCGAAAGTTTAATTTCAGAGAAGAGAAAATGTATTTCAGATAGGAACTTGTAATTCAGAGAAAAGAAATTGAATTTAAGAATTGTACATTTAACAGAATAGGAAAAATGATTCAGAAAGGATCCATTTTAAACACTTCAACTAAGTGGAAATCTATAAACATATGGGTGGAACCATAAACATTAACCAGTTCAGAAACAGTTCTTGTGAATCAATTGACGCTTTCCCAAGTTATTGCTTGATCTCTGCATCCTTCTTTCCTACCTCGATCTCCCTTGATCAACTCTTCTTTTCCAGCCCCCGACGGTATTAGAGCAATTCGAGGGCTAGGAGGGGGTTTCTCTTTTAATCACACTTCTTTCTTCAACAAACAGCAAACAATGACTGATCAGGCTACTAAAATGAATACCTTCACGGTGCAGGGGGGATACCCCAGTACCGGTCGGGAAAAACTGGTGGAAGTGCAGGCCAGCTTCGACCGTCAACAAGCGACTGTACAGCGCCCCTGGTAGGGAACCAGACCGGAGCGCAGGTGGCAGCCTCTGGAACATACAGGCAGACCCAGGCTGAAAACGTCATAGACCGAAGAGCCTTAATCACGACGCTAGATCTAACATGGGATGAGGCCAAAATGAGCTCAATTCACCCCTGCAAAGAAGCAGCTCCATGGGTTCGGTTATTTCAGAAAGGACAGTTGAGAGGAAGCAGCTAGAAACGTCAACCGATGATGATGGAGAAGCCTATAAAAAAAGAGAACCCCCGAATTTGTCGCCCTCAAGGTGATAGAACTGAGCTCACAGCTGAGTAATAACATTGAACAAAATACGAAACGTAGCATTAAAGACATCTTGCAAAAACTTAACAGACAAGCATCCTGCAAGGAAAAAGTATTACAGAATGGCTCCAAAGGCATAGATATGAAAAGACGG